TGTGTGTGTGTGTGTCATATATATATATATATATATATATATATATATATATATATATATATATATACATATACATATACCTATATACATATATATGGAGAGAGAGAGATAAATAAATTTGAAACCCCGTTGGAAAGACAAAGAGGAAGCAACAACCAGAGCAGCAGATATTTTAAGAAAAGAAATCACGAGATTAAAAATCACTCACCCTTTACTTCGTGAGCCTACACTTCCCGCGCAGCTTTTTGCATACACGTGTATTATGTTCTTCAGTTGCAGTCATTTATCTGAAGAACCTGGGCTAATCGGACGGAGGGTTAGAGAAGCCGAAACAGGTCTTAATTGCAGGAACCGACTTTGCTTCAGTTAACAATAACTATCATTGATTTGTTTTTAAGAGAATTTTTTTTTCGAACGTTACTGAATTACAGTTATCCTCGCATTATCCCATAAAGTTAATTTGGGCTTTGTTCTTAAGAGAAGATGACTATATAAAATAGATCACACTTGTTCTTTTTATACGGCCCCGTCATACACTTCCCATTTATTGTCATTATTCATACGTTAATTTCTGCGTCTTTAGAATCGTCGACCTAATTTTGAACATTCAAAAGCCATTTGCAAACAAGGTCTATAAACTCCAAAAGATTTCGCTAGATTTTTAAGGCGTAAGTGCAAGAGGGTATAAGTCGGTAGTGGATTAAAGGATATAATTAATTAAGAAATGGAAAATAAAATCCTTCATGAAGTGATTCACATAGATCTTGACACTCACACGCGTGCGCGCACACGCATACACACGCACACACACACACACACACACACACACACACACACACTGTCAACAGTACGTAGCAAGACCGGATGGTACACCTCCGTCCAAGCAGCTGCCCTTCTCTTTGGGCAGGACGTAGATGTCGCCCGGCTTTCTCTATTAGTACAAGAATAAACATCCACCCTCGAAAGGAACCGCCACATAAAGGGGCACGTGCATAAGACGAAGAGGGAGACACGGCAAACAGGCCAAGCCACACAGGGTCCAGCTCCACCACCCTCCTCCCAGGGACACGGGGGTCTCTTGGGGGCTCTCATCTTCAATAATAAACTAGCAAGCTAAGACCCCTTTCGTCGACCGCCCAAGACCATCTCTCTTACGCTTACATCTTGTGGCTTTCGGTGGTGGAAAAGGTATTTAAAGCGACCTTTAAACATTGGTTATGCAGGAGTAGTCACAGGAGTACAACAGTTTGACTCTTTATTTGGGAAGAGTACAGCACAGATATGGTAACACACGAGACGAGTCTTGGGTAAGCGCTGACTGCGGGGTCGCGTGGTCCTGCTCTCCAGCCCTGAGGAGCCGAAGGCCGGGTGACGACCTTGACACGACGAGCGCTTGGCACGTAAACCCGGGTCATCCTTGGCCATAAATAGCGAGCGTCCACCGGAACGCGGCGTAGGAACGCTAGCTGCAGGAAGTTGGGGGGAGCGAGGCGAGGTCACTTGTGATAGCTGATTAATGACATGCCTTAGGTGGTCACCCGTTACATCTGGTGGCTTGCGGTGGTCTCTTGCGCTTACACACACACAGACAAACACACGCTATATGTATCACATTAGCTTGGACAGGAACACACATGATAGGCACAAAAGCTGTCAATGAAAAATAGGATAAGATAGATGTATCACACCCAGGCAGGATATGTGGCGAGAAAGAGGAAAACGACAAATTGATATGCTAATGAGATAGAGTTTCTAAAACGTACTGGTCCCTTATCTCTCTTGGGAGTGTTTATATTTGTGGGGGCGAATTTCCCACTCTGTGATGGCTCGGTGCTATAGCGCCCTTCCCTAGTCTTCTCCTTACCAAAAAACCCTATTACTTCCCTTTGCTCAGACTCAGACCTTGTCCAGATGAGACACTAGCTGTTATCACCAATGTGTGGTTTCTCCAAATGTTTTCTAAGTTATACCTTTACAACCTATAAAACTAAAATAGTCATATAAGTTACTTATGATCTAACTTCAGCCTTAGGGGTAACTGAGAGAAGGGGTAATATCAAAACACTTAATGAGCTTACAATATTTGTTGATATATTGTGTCATAAATCATTACACTTCTACAAATAACAAATAAACATTCATCCACCAAAATGTCCAAAGGCGTATGGCCCAACCTGTCACTCTTTACACGTTTTT